ACTCCCACACCAGCCCTCTTAGGTTAAGATTGAAATCCACGTAGGTTGCAGCTCCTGGGCTTTCGTGGGGTCGAGAAAAGAGCCTCAGAGATTGAATTATGAAAGAGGGTGGTGCTGAATCACCTGCTGCTGTAAGAATATGTTTGACATTTAGTTGGTTCCTAATTAAACAACCCAATATCAAACATATCACACAGAAGCAGGCAGGAGCGCTTTGGGGGTCATCTGCTTTCCTCCCAATTACAAAGAAAGAGCAGACCAGGCACCAATCATGTCTAGATGGAGAGCAATCTCCTTGAGAAAGGGTACTGGCCCCTGCTCTTCGCCTCCTGAGACAGCCAGCTCTTGCTTATCGTCCTACGTGTCATCCCTGCCTCGGCTCCTCCTCTGTCAGTGCCTGGCCCTTGCTAGATCACGTTGGCCTAAACCAGGAAGAATACCTGGCAGGGCTCCCCATCCGGGCACCTATCATCCCCTAGAGCTCCCACACAGAGCTTCTAGCCCTGATACCATGGCCCCAGTGCCCAGAGGATCAGCTATGTCAGCAGCTCCTCATCAAAATTGCCACCTGCTGTCTTCAACCACATTCCAGCTGCCCTGAGGCTTTCCGGGGGTGGGGGACAGAGGGCTTGTACATCCTGCTTTACCTTTCCAACAGACTCCTAACCTTTCCAGATCACCCCTACAAGGCTGCTGAGGCCTGTTCAGGAGGCACTGTCCTGCTTTTAAGTGCTACAGATGTTGCCTTCCCTTTTCTGCCAGCTTAACCCTTCTCACCTTCTCCCCATGTCCTCCAGGCATCCTCCTTAACGTCACCCTTGGATGTCCAGAACAGAAGGATGACTTGTCTCCCTGGCAGGCTCCATCGTGGACTCCAGAAGAGAAGACTTAACAGTCCCCCACTTTGCTTGGCAGAATTGAAACTAAGGTTTTACATTAAGGGTAAGAGAGGAAACTCCTGCAGTCCACAGGACTTCTCTCCTCTTCTGGGGCTTTTTACCAGAACTCCAGGCTGGCTTCTTCAAGGGTCTTCCCTCATAGGAATCCAGCCGGATTCCCATATGGGGGACTTCTCTTTTGGAGAGAATCAGGTCTGTTGAATGTCATGTGGCAGGCAGATGCGTCTCTCCACTGTGGCAGAAAAGAGCCCAAGTTATAGCTGCATTGGGGGCTGGGGGGCTTGAGTGGAAGTGTGGGGGTGGGAGAAGGACACTCTGCTTCAGCCCCAGGCCTGTTCCATGTGTCCTTGTTCCCATTCCAGATACACACCCCAACCCCCAGCATATACCAACTACACAGTGTCCTTGATCTAGATCGATAGCTTGTCCCAAGCCCCAGTCAATTTCTGTTGTATGGCTCTTGTCTTTCAGGGGAAGACTAACAAAGGGGCATATACAGGCCCCAAGGTAGGCAACTGGGGTGTTGTCTTATGTTTTTGTTCGTTTTTTGGCTCCTAAAGGGGATGTGTGTGTAATTTGTACTTTCTTGTTTTCCCTTCTTATCCTTAACACCCCAAGTTCTAGTTCCCCTCTCTGAGAAACATACCCACACTCAAGAACCAGAAACTGGAGGAAGAGAGGCTGGGAAAGACACTAGCAGGAATGAAAAGTACTTTAATGTTTGGGCAGTAGAAGAACAGAGAGGCCGACTGGGAATATGGATGCAGGGGAGGAGCAGCTGTCTTGGAAGGAGATTTTGTATGGCATACTTAGGTAGAAACATCAGATGGCCTTTGATGAAAGCTGTTTAGCTCTCCTGGAAATATCTACTATGTAGCCATTTCAAACAGAACTGAGCCCCTCTGAGCCAGAGGAGCTGGATATAGCATTAGCCACAGAGGGAAGAGGGGCTGAATGGGTATGATGGAGTGATGTTATGAGAGCAGACAGAATAGACAGGATCAGAGGAGATGGGCTCTGTGGGGGGCCAACCTGCCAATACTGGAGCCAGCCTGGCACTGACAAGCCCTGGGGGAAGAGGCCAAGGTCAGGGATCAACGCAGAGGGGATGGGGCATTCAGTGGGTTCAAATGAACAGAGGAAAGGAGAATAGAAAAATAGAAGGGGTTGGTGAGGGAATCTGGCTGGAGGTAAGGGGAGGCCAGGTAATGGAAAGGAAATAAGGAAAAAAACTATCATAGGAGGAATAAATCATAATTATGGATTACCACTTATTGGACATTTTGTGCTACTTACTGCTAAGTGCTTTATTTAATCCCTACAGCAACCCAGTGAATTAGGCATTGTTTCCCTTTTTACATACAGCATAAGGAACTGTAACCCAGAAAATTAAAATAACTTGCACAAGACCAGTTAGTGACAGAGCCAGCACTGAAACCCAGATCTGTCCAGTGTTAAAGTCTGTTCTCCTAATGCCAGGCTATACTGCCTGTGTAAAAGAAGCAAAGAGCTGCCTGGGAAACAGATATGGGGGAGGATTTAAAAAATGAAGGTGCAGGCTGGGCGTGGTGGCTCACGCCTATAATCCCAGCACTTTGGGAGGCTGAGGTGGGCAGAAACCAGACTGGCCAATATGGTAAAACCCCATCTCTACTAAAAATATAAAAATTTGCTTGGTGTGGTGGCAGGTGCCTGTAGTCCTAGCTCCTTGGGAGGCTGAGGCAGGAGAATCGCTTGAAGGCTGGAGAATTGCTTGGGAGGCAGAAGTTGCAATGAGCTGAGATCATGCCACTACACTCCAGCCTGGGCGACAGAATGAGACTCTGTCTTTAAAAAAAAAAAAAAAATAGCCGAGTATGATGGCAGGCACCTGTAGACCCAGCTATTTGGGAGGATGAGGCAAGAGAATCACTTGAACTGGGAGGGCGGAGGTTACAGTGAGCCGAGATTGCACCACTACACTCCAGCCTACGTGAAAGAGTGAGACTCTACCTAAAAAAACAAAAAGAAAAAAGGTGCAGCCACTATTTGGCTCATACTGAGGCAGAGGATCGCTTGAGCGCAGGGGTTTGAGACCAGCCTGAGCAACATAGTGAGACCTCATCTCTACAAAAAAAAAGTCAGGTGTGGTTGCATGTGCCTGTGGTTCCAGCTACTCAGGAGGCCGAGGATGGGGGAGTGCTTGAGCCCAGGAGGTTGAGCTTGCAATGAGCCATGATTGCACCACTGCACTCCAGCCTGGGCAATAGAGCAAGACCCTGTCTCAAAAAAAAAACAAAAAACAAAAAACTGAAGGTGAGATGAAACTTCAGAAAATAGAGGGTGGGGGAGGACACAGGCAAACATAGGAATGGATGACTCAGTCTCAGGCTTCTGGGTCAAATCCAGGTCACATGTATGGTTTTGTATCCTATAAAACTTATACCGGCTGGGTGCGGTGGCTCACGCCTATAATCCCAGCACTTTGGGAGGCTGAGGTGGGCAGATCACGAGGTCAAGAGATCAAGACCATCCTGGCCAACATGGTGAAACCCCGTCTCTACTAAAAATACAAAAATTAG